TAAAGAATACACGACTAGACTCTCCCTTTTTTAAATCAAACATTGTATCAGATGAGTACAATGCATATCAGAGATTCATAAATTTATAGAACAAAAACTCAGAATCCTGAAATATAAGAAAAACTTGACTGTTGTGGAGAAGTATTTCATCTTCAGAACCTTGATGAAACACGAGCAGAGATCCATGGCAGTATTTGTTTTTTATTCTTTCCTCATACATCAGTTGAACCGCCGCAAACCATTATTGTTCTTACAAATTTGCTCAAAATATTGCAACAAAGTTGTATCCTTGGTATATATCAACAAAGGCTTCTCTCTCATGCAGGGTCTCCCTCAACGAACGAACTATAGCCAGCAGGTGGCGAGATTAGTCGGCTGGTGGCAGATAGGGAATTCATCATGGATGAGCCACGGGTACCAGCCCAGACAAGCATGCGAATTCAGGGGATGAACTTCCTGTTTCTGCCGTGCTGAATATATTTATACATTCCGTCCCCTCCTGCATGCATCCATGCATGTGTATGCGGAGAGGCTCCGGGAGCGGTTGGTATCTGCACATCGGCTCGGCGAAAAGCCTGCATTCGAGCGAGTGGAGGGTTAACGGGAGGCAAAGGGCCGCTTCTAACCAAAGCCTGTCCCCTCTAGAATAGCCTGGCAGGCTGCTCGTCGGCATCCATAAAGATAAATAGTTCTCATTTTCCTGAACGTGAGGGAGCCCAGAAAAGCAGCGTTAAGTAGGACAGCTCAGGAGGGGCTAGTTCAGAATTCAGGCCATAACAAGCTGCCTAAAAGGAGAGAGACAGACAAGGGAAGGACACTTAGTCGCAGCGGTCATTCAGGATGAGATGTATACCGTCAAGGATGTTTCCAAACGCTGATCTCAAATCTGTGCTCCAGATCTGCAAAACGATCTGGGAACAAAGTTACGAAGTTTTTTCACTTGTGTTGTACCATTGTATTGGGCATATATCTAGCTAAACCGAGGAGCTGTACATTGTGTGCTATGGTGACGCAGTTGTTACTGCGATGTGCTCATTGACATGGTGCGAATTCTGGTGTGTGTGCCGCTTTTGATTCTTCATAGAGGGTTCGCACAACGTTTTTCCCTCCATAATGAGTATATACAACCCGCCCTCGCATTCAAAAAACGCTCAAAATATATTTCAAAGATTGGACCAACGTAGCTCAATGCGTACCGTACGCGGCCTTGTAAAGGGGCTTTTTGAGGGAATCGCAAGGTATGTGCTGTTCGAACGTTATTCGAACTCTAACGTGATTCTGGACCTAACGCGGGCTCGCAGAGGCGAGGGGGGGGGGGCTGAACCATGTACAGCACCCGGTACGCAATGAGTTAATTTAAAGAAACACATTAGGATTACGAAACGTCTGCTCAAGATACACTCCAGTAGTTTTGGTTATTAGAGTGCTGCGTCATGCACTGGGCTACTAGAAGAATCTTCCAGCCAAACAAATACACACTCCGACACAATTGTGCGCGCCGACGAGCGGTGTCCTGTCTCGAGTCCTTTTTGTTGGTTACACGGTCCAGTCCCTATCATTTCAACAAAACTTCGTATTTCCTCTCTCCTCATTCACACATCCTGCTTACTAAGTGTATGTGTTGTAAAGGGAGCAAAGGGTACGGTAGGCTGGCAGCAATATGTTGTGATTTCCAGGCTTGCCGACTCGAGATGAGCGACGATGATAACAAGGACGATGGGAAGAGCAACAGCGCATGGTCATTGAGGAACGCGCAGGATCGCTGAGAAGCCACAGCTGTACCCGCTGCCCGAGTGCCCCGGAGACTGTATTAGTCCATCGCATACCCTCATATTCGATACCTTCGCTTCATACTCTGTACGTAGTTCTATCCCAATAAACCTTCAATATTCTATCTCTAGTTACATCGCAAGGGCTCAGCACTTACTGGTAGCAGCGAGTGCGAGTCCATCTTGCCTTAGGGCTCACTTCTTTTCCACTAGTTTCGTTTTTTCTCTCCTTTGAGAATCATTCGGGGCCCTACCTGGGCGGTCACTGCTGTACTGTAATTTTATGGTTGTTGGGTCCACGGTGAACGGAATGGCCAACCGTTTCTCCGCGTCTCCCAAAACCGCTGTACCGTTGTTAAACTAGATAAAGTCCTTAGCCCATAGCATTCCTGAGAACATAATGTCTATAACGTAATTGTCATCGTCGCTGTCGTGTAAGGTTCACATACATAATATTCTAATCTCGGCTCTATGCTGATGCTGTTTCGAAACATTTAATTTTTCATCAATAAGTAACGGTACTATTACGGAACCTTTCCTTGGTGCTTCCAGTGCACATTCTCGCTTCATCGACCTTCATTTCCTTCTTTTCTTTTATCTTTTCGACGAGCGCTCTAATCGATCTTAGCGATAGTTCTTTCGATGATTTAGTGGTTTTTGCAGATAGAAGGCACACATCTTGCGGTTTATCTCCAAGCTTCAAGCTACTAACAGATCTCTGTGGTTAACGACTGCGGTGAGTCCCTTCTTGCAAACACCTCGTTTCTTTTCTTTTTCTTAGTACCTTCTTTACGTTGTCACGTGCAATAAAAAAAAGGAATTTAGTAGGAAACTGACATAATAATATGACAGGGTGGCGCCTAGGACTAGAGCAGTATGGTAACTTTCCCGCGCGGATGAATTTGGAGTGTACGGTCGCAAAATGTTATGACGAAGCATTTAAGTAGCCTCCTTGTTAGTGAGTAAGAGGATCCTCCTTGACTTCATCTAGAGCATTTCCTTCCCCTAAACATATGTTATCTCTGCCATATCTAGACCTTTTCTGCACATGCCGCTATCCGCTATCCTTGCTTCATCTGCAACAGTTCCCTAAACATTCGTTATCTCCGCTGTATCTAAAACTTCTTCAACATATCACTAGCCTTGTTTCATCTGCAACATTTCTCTAAACATACCTTATCTCCTCTGTATCCGAAATAAACATGGTATTATCCCTGTTTCATCTAAAATTTTTCCCTCAACATAACACCATCTCCGCTTCATCTAAGAGCATTTATTTGCATTCTTTAGAGGGGGCGTCGCATTCTTCTGTTTTCGCTCTTTTATATATAAGCGACCTATCCCCCTAGTTTGTATCTTCGCGGATTTTGTTCCACATCGTGTTCACATTTAACGCTCTCTCTTGTTCTTCCGTCGTAACTCGGCAGTTTCTTCAGTACCTGCAGCCAGGTATACTACGATTGAGGGCCTGTAGGAGATGCCACGCGCTTCGGGACCAGTAACTCGTTCCCAAACCCGCCTCGCACAGGCCAAGGAGGACACGACACCATCTCAAGATCCCGACGAAGAGTCACTCTCTGTGGAACCCAAGTTCACCGAGGAGCTACAGTCCGTCCTGATTGATTTGGGGGACGATGACCCGGTATTGGGGCGGGATGCAAAGGAGCTCTGGGACGCAACGGCTACGGCTGTGACGGAGGTTTGGCATGATGCCCAACTTTCCACGGAATCGTTGGCTCAACAGATCTCAGCCAACAATGTTAGCTTGCTTCGCGAACTGAACACCTCGGTCGCGGCGGTGGGGGAACGCGTCCAGGCGCAACCTGTTCTAGCATCCTGTTTCCCCGATGGAGCTTTTCCTAAGCTACAACTTTTCACTGGCAGTAGTGATTCTCCACAGTTCTCTCTTTGGCTCCGCCGCTTTGAGGACGTCTTACGCATGCGTGGAACCCCTTTAACTGAAGAGCAAAAAGCCAACTTCTTGATAGGATATCTAGGCGGGGCGGCACGCGAAAAAGTAGATGAACTGCCAGAAATCCAGCGTAAAAACTACAACACCCTAGTAACCCACTTGCGGTCATTTTTCGAAAGTCCACAGCAAAGGCACCTGGCTCGCCAAGCTCTCTCCACGTGTNNNNTCGCCTTCGCAACCTGGTAAGGGCTGCTACCACGGGGCAGGACCCCAACGCCCAGAAAGAACGCATACTGGAGGAATACCTGGCGCGCCTGCGGGGTGATATCCGCTATTTCGTGCGCTTAGACAATCCTACTACTTTCGAGCAGGCGGTCGAGCGTGCTCAGATGGTCGAGCAGCTTCTTGCAGAGGCTGCTGTTGACCGTCTAATGCACCCCGCCACTCATACCGACAATCAACAGGTTCAGGCACTGTCCGCACAGGTAGCCCGCATGGGTTTTGAACCTAACCGGCGTTCACGTTTCCGCACCCCACAGGGGCAATACACCAACCGATTCGCCTCGAGACAGCAAAGGGTTAATAAGCCCAGAGGGACTCCGCGTCCACCACAACAGTACGGCCCTAATAACCGATGTTTCAACTGTGGAGGGCGCGGTCACTTTTCGCGACAATGCCCTTCCCCACGCAGTATGAATCCGTCGCAGAACACATCCTTCCGTCCTACGAGGCAACCGGGAGCAAACATGATGACTTTTCTGAATTCAACTCCTTCCGACGCCGACCAGAACCCCGCATTGCCCCCAGATAGTGGCCACCGCGACGCTCAAACAGAAATCTCCAACGCCCGCGCTCGAATTGCTGCACTGCTTAAACGCAACCAGGAATTGTCGCAGTCCATGTTCCGCCACCAAACTTCCTCCTCTTTTCTTCATTCACCATCTCTTTCTATGTTGACCCCTGGAATTCTTATGCTTCTTTGTGTGGTGACTTTCTCAGCCGGATCTGCGCAAGCATCTACGGCATGGTTGTGTCCTCGCAACCATAGAGATCGGATCTTGCACATACCACTCTCATACAACTGTTCTACCATCCTACCACCTTTCAATGCCACGTTTGACCACCTTTCTGTTGACATTTTTCGTCCCAATACAAAACGATATTCCTCCCCAGCATTCTGGGCAAAACAGTAACCTCGTCAGCCTCCTTCTCAGTTAATTTCTTCGGCGCTCGCTCTATAGTCCACTCTGAAACGATCCAAACAGTAACTATCGAACAGTGCCGTGTAATGGCCACCCATTACCGCTGCGACCACGGAAATGATGAATCGCGATGGTTCGTGGCGCACGATTAATGAGTTAGTAATAGAGTGGCCTTCCGCTCCCTTCGGCTGCTGTACTCAGCACAAGGTAACCGTCACAAATTGTCTCCTTTTCCCTACCACGGTATATGCCCAACATGGAGATGACCATCCGGATTCTCTGGCAGGTGACATGAGCGCATGCGTATACCACGCCGGTTCCTGTACCCTTCCTGACGGGTCAGCCATCATTTGGACTCCTCAAGCTGAAGAGCGCTGTCAATTTATCCCGGTAGGCAAAGTGCGAGGTCAACGGGCCGGCCACGTTTGGCTGAGCGATTCCCGGGAATTCGCCCTGTCATGGACTCAATCCTCGGAACATCTCTTCGACTGCGGGAAGTCACTGTTGCTCACTGACCAGGGCTACGCCATAACTGCACCCAGGCGTTCCGCTCGATCCGTTGCCTCATCGGTAGGTATCGTGACATCCAACCAGCTAGCCGCCCAATTGCTCGCAGTTGAAGGCTCCGCAAAGGCATCTGTGTTCTCACTATTCAGTCATACCATCTCCGCCCTGTGTGACCGAGTAAACCTTTTGGGCCTTTCGATCCAGACAGCACTCGCGGCTCAACCTACTGTTGTAGCACGACGCCTATTCATCCGCACCGATATCGCAGCGTCTTACTTGGGCAGTGGCCTCATACAGATACACAAGTGCATGGCGGTTCCATCTTCTAGTTGGAGTTTTCTCGGATTTAACGACAAGTGCTTCGCTCGCCCTCTGGTCGACATACGTCTTCCATCCGGTATCAGTCATCGGGCATACATGGACGTCGACACGGCCGTCTTGGAAGAAAAGGCTAATGAAGTGCCATGTTATTCCGTTCCGTACTTCTATATCTTCGATGGGACTCAAGCGGTTCGGCTGGATGCGTTTTCCGGTACGTGTTCCCCGGCATCATACGAAACGTTTCGTCTCAACTCAGTGACGGATTCTATCGCTATTAACACGCCCTTCCCGTTAACTATCTTTCATAACTTGGTCATTACAAACCTTAGTGAGCTCATGGACGGTCCTCGTCTGCAGGAATTCGGAACGGCACTGGAACAACATCGCCTTGCAGAGCACATCGCTGAAGTCCGTAACCGAGCGTCCCTTTCCAGTATCGACCATGCGGCCCCTCTGCTTCCCTGGTCGTTCTTGGGCAGTTGGTCCCCATTTGACATATGGATAGCCGTCTGTGGGACTATAGTCTCCCTACGGGTCTTCAAGTATCTGCTACTCCTCTATTTAGGTGCAAGCCAGCCCACCCGCAACCATCCATGCTCCACGCCCATTCCTCCCACCACTCTCCCGTTAAAAGAGTATCCACACCCAAAATCACGTTCACTCACTCCAAAACGGGACTCCCAGTCGGATCAGTCCAGCTCTCGGTTGAGCAAAATCGTCATTGAGTCGCAGTCGGTTTGGCCCCCGCGGGCCTTGTTAGCACCGCTCCACGTGTTGTCGTTCAACACCGCCAGCGCCTTCTTTGTGACACAAATCCCCATTAAGGTTAATGGGATTGAGATGCTAGCATTGGTGGATACTGGAGCGGCGATCACTGTATGCAGCCGCAGCAACATGGATCTTGGCGTGTTCACATTACGCCCCTCTCCGATTCGCACGGCCGTAGGCATGGCGGGGGNGCTCATGCATCCCTCGTCAGGTCGACAAGTATAACATCGTAATGGGGAACGACCTCCTTTCCCGCATTCCGTCTTGGCATATCAAGTATCGCCAAAGGCGCTTCACGGTAGGGCAGGACACTATTCCAATACTCACTTGTAGACCACAGCCCTGCCAGATCGACATGCCCCACGACGTAACCGTAGTCCGCGCCGCACAGACTTCAATTCTCCCCCCGCGGTCGGAGACCTTTGTGCGCTGCTACGTTTCTACTCCCAGGAAAGACCCTTTGATGATGATTACGCAGTCGCCAGCGCTATATGATTAACACCTCTTCGTTACACCCGCTGTTTTTCGATCCGGGCACGCGCTAATTTTGGCCGCTAACCCCAATTCAAGACCTGAAGTTCTCTATCGCCAACAGCAGGTGGGTGCGGCGATTCATCTAACTACAGATGACTCTGGATGCCTAGTCGAGGACTCACTTAGTGCAAACGCTTCCGAAAAGGAGACAAATCCCTTAATCGCGGTCACTGATCATGACACCCCAGTTCATGACGATCCCCCTAACGTTGACCTCTCCAAGTGTGAGGTCAGTGACAAAGAGAGGGACCAACTGCGAAGCCTATTTTTGGAGTACCAAGATCGCATTTCACATTCTAGTTACGACCTTGGGTCGTACACCCATACCTTGGTTAATATCAAGACTACCACCTCTTCTCCACCCACGCGTTTTNAAGGCAGGGCGCATAGCTGAGAGCGACACACCATGGGTACACAACACGGTTTTGGTTAAGAAACGGGATGGCTCTCTACGGGTCTGTCTTGACTTCCGCCCATTGAATGAGGTCACCATTCCCGACCACTACCCGCTACCCCGCATTGAGGATTTATTGGTTAAGGTAGCAGGGAACCGGTACTATACCACATTGGATTTGGCATCGGGTTACATGCAGTTACGCATGTCCCCTCAAAGCCAGGAGAAATGTGGCTGGGCAACTCACCGAGGTGTATACCACTTCGTATATCTGCCGTTTGGCCTACGTAATGCAGGAGCGTATTTTTGAAGGGCAATGGCTCGCATACCCTCGGGACTTGATGATCACTGCCTTGCATATATTGACGACATTATAATATTTAACAAGACCTTCGAAGAACATCTACAAACCCTTCGGGCAGTATTCGACCGCTTTCGGATTTTCAACATCAAAACATCGGGCAAGAAATTAACCGAAATCGCCCGCTCCAAAATCACCTCTCTCGGCCACGAGATATCCCTACCCTCATACAGCCCAGCGGACCGCAATATCCGCGCAGTGAAGGAGTTCCCTACACCCACCTCGGTCAAGGAAGTCAAGCGATTCATAGGTATGGCAAACTTTTTTCGGAGATTCATTGGCATCTTTCATAGTCCACGACCGGTCGCGCGACTGGTCGCTCGACTGGTCACCTGACTGATCGCGCCACTGGTCGCTCGATCGGTCGAGGAGGCCGCGCTAGTTATGGGTGCCGCCGTGGACGGTCCCGCGCGATCAGTCAAGTGACCAGTCGAGCGACCAGGCGCTAGCGACTGGCGACCAGTCGCGCGATCGGTCGCGCGACCGGTCGTGGACTATGAAAGATGCCATTCGCGACTTTGCTTTCATAGCAGCCCCTCTCTATGAACTGATGAAGGACAGCGCCGTATTTGTCTGGGGTTCCCGCCAAGAAGAAGCTTTCATCACATTGCGAGACTGTCTTACGCGCAAACCATGTCTGGCATACCCCCGTGACCAGGATTTTATCCTGTGTACAGACGGCAGTACTATTGCAGTTGGAGCAGGTCTCTTTCAGCAGGCACCCGATGACCCTAGGAAGCTAGTCGCTGTTGGATATTTTAGTAAGGCGTTGTCTGATTCGCAACGAGCCCGACTCATATAGAACTCTTTGCGATGATTAGCGCCTTACGTTTTTTCCGCGCCACTATTCACGGTAACCTTACCCGCATTTTCTCTGACCACAAACCTTTAACCTTCTTGCTGAGACACAATAAAATTCACGACAATCTGGCTAGGTGAATAGTAGAGTTGCAAAGTTATAACATCACCATAGATTACCTGAAGGGCTCATCCAACATAGTAGCTGATTGTTTGTCACGGATTTACCACCCCTCGTCAAGGTTCGAGGGTAATACCCCAGAATCTGACGTCATCGTTGAAGCTCCCCGATGTTTGGTGGAATTCCCCGAGTAACCTTCCCTATTACAATATTCGCCAGTAGCTATCCGTCCGCACGATTTGCTAGTCGAGCAGCAGCAGGACCCCCTGTGCAAAAACATATTAGGCTTTCTGCATAACGGTGTTTTCGACGAAGAGGTCGCGGACGAACGTAAACCAGCTCTGCTCCAACTAGCAGATAAGTGCCATGCTAGAGCGAATGGATGCCTTTACTACCGTAGGCCCACTCTAGCACCTGCTGGCAACCGACACGACTTGGTAGTAGTGCCCGAGCGACTTAAGGAACCCCTTTTCCTAGCGTTCCACGAAAGTCCCTCGGCCGGGGCCACTTCTTTTGGAGGAAGACTTTGGCAAAAATTTCGCGCAAGTACTTCTGGCCCCATATGGCAGAGGATGTGTTTGCACTCTGCCGGGCATGCGACTTTTGCCAAAGAAAGAAGGCCGCAGCTCGTAATCGCGAACAATTGTTACTACCCGTCCCGGTGGCGATCTTTGATAAGGTCTATGTAGACCTCACAGGTCCCATGCATGTTACAGAACGTGGCAATCGCTATATCATGGCGATGATCGACCACTTCTCAAAGTACGTAATTGCTGTCGCACTACCGGACTGCACGTCAGCAACGGTCGCACAAGCCCTGATGAACGAGTGCATTCTCAAGTACGAAGTCATGTCCGAACTCGTTTCAGATAACGCATCCTATCTAAGATCTGAAACGCTGACCGAATTAATTAAGCTTCTCCGTGTTCACCGTTACTTCTGCACTCCTTACCACCACGAGGGAAATGGAGCATGCGAGCGTGTTTCGCCACCTCCCAGCTGATGCTCCGCTCCTACATGAGTGCCGCTCAGTGCGACTGGGACCAGTTCATTTCAGCCTGTACATTCATGTACAATACGTCGACTCTCAGCAGTATCCAGAACACACCATTTTTCCTAATGTTCGGGAGAGATCCTACATTCAACGTCGACCTTATTATCCGTCATCATGAGGAGCGTCACGTCTCATCAGATTCCGATACGCACGCGTATATCGAACGCCTCCTACCCGTACTCCACTCGGCGTGGCAGTACGCGTATCAGATCAACGCTAAGCAACGCGAAAAATACAAGGCGCAACATGACAAATCCCAGTTAGTCCCGCTTAGGATAGCAGTAGGTGATAAGGTTTACCTCAGGAACTTTACTCCCCTTTCCGGATTATCATCTAAGCTTTGTATGCCTTGGCTCGGTCAGTTTCGCGTAATCTCGGTACAACACCCCCACGTCGTCATCGTTAGCGTTTCCGCCCCGGGCTCTTCACCCAAAAAGGTGCATATGAACCAAGTTAAGAAGTGTCACCTCCTATCTGGGCCAGTTTTCACAACACCCCGTCTCCCCGAGGAAGAGCGGACTGCCTTGATTAATTGCCAAGCAGAAGATCTCGTAGTACCCGGATATTCGCGTTCCTACGTGGCTAGCAAGGAGTCGAAAAGATTGGCTCCAAACCACCCATACAACACCAGATTGCAGAAGTGTTTGAATTCTCTTTGAGTTTGGCGCCAATTCGAGTTGTTCCTTGACCATACCTTGGTTCCATCTTTCACTCGCATTTCACTTCTCTTTAGACTGTAGCGTACTTCGGTTACACAAGCCTCTTGAAACGCCAAAATCATAACAATATCCACACGGTCAAATTTGTTCTCCTAGGCAATCTTTGGATTATTCTTTGAAATGTTTCAGATTTGTACATGATCGTTACTCGGAGTCAACCGACGGACTGACTTGCCAACGCGACCATGGAATCGAGGCCTCAACCCGATCCCGACGACAAGCAGTCAGGTATAGGGGCAAGTCCCCTCTCACTTTCTCCGAGCCATATCTTGGCTGATCATTCAGTGTACTCGCACAGCGATCAGTCAGATCGTGTCTCCGTTGATAATACGACCGCTGCGGTCTCATGCCGTAGCGACAATGATCCTTTAACATCGGATCGTGACGCATCAGAGCGAGGCTCCTCTTTATTAGAGGAATCGCTAGATGCTGACATCGGTTCAGTCGCGACGCCTTTACCAATGGAGGTTACCGAGTATACGCCGGTGGCTAGCCCTAGGCCCTCGGCATTGCCGTTTGACCCCCTGCCACCTGCACGAGCTACGATGTATCGCCCCTGTTCTCCACCGAGGTGGAGAACATCCAGGCGTCGGTCGTACCGACCTCGCTCTTTCAACTTCGGCCATGCGTACGCCGCTCGTCAGCCCACCAGACGGTCGCCACACGCTCCCTCCGATCCCCCTTCCAGCTCTCGCGGTTCCCGGAGAGGGATTTCCCGCCGACAACCATTCAGTAGAGGTAGAACCGCTCGACGCGAAACTAAATCCCCACCTCGTGATGAGTAGTCTGACTGGCGCCAGAACCTTCCAGAAACGACTCCCGCGGGATTTACCCACTATTTGGCTGATCGCCACCCTTGGGGCCCCCTGGTGCGCCCGCGTCCTCCCAAGTACGCTAATATCAAAAACGAGTGCACCACTAGCGAACTTCCTCTCGACAGGTACAGACCGATCCCCCCAGGGGCATACCACGCTACTCGATGGGTTCGCTCGCTCTTCCCCATCTACATTCGAGGTGACCCCACCCCTTCGAACAAAATTCCTGTAATGGAGCTCCAGACGCTCGAAGCGGCCATCACATTTCGGGAAAACTCGCTTGAGATCCTCAACAAAACCTTAAAAGGGGANTTACCGCACTACTTTCCACGCAAGGGCGGAGGCAAGACGATCACCACGTGGTCGACGGCTACGTTCGCCTCGGCAAGCTCGCCAAGGCGGCAAACGCGGCGAACAAGCCGTTTCTCGCTTTCTTCACATCGTCGAGCGCATCCCATCTGGCACAACGGGACACCGGATATTAGATACTGTCTATCGTAAATCAACATCCGACACCCCGTCACCATCTACGAGAGCCCACCATCAGGCGGCATCCTCCAGTCTCCCGGATACCTTCCGGACAAACCAACAGACCATCACACTAACAACCGACCAGCAGGCCGCATTCGCACTCGCTATAGCGGATCACCCCATTTCGAGCATCAACGCCGCTTTCGGCACCGGGAAAACCCTCTTAGCAGCTATAATCGCAGCGTACTACGCTAAGCGGGGTATGGGTACCATCCCATCATAGTTACCACAACCACAAACAACGGAGCGGCTCAGTTTACTAACACCTTGCTAACGTTTAAGGGCTTCCCCGACCTACACATTTTGCGTTATCTATCCGAAACGGTTTTCCTCGATGAGTCACCGGCCACTCCGGCGGACATTCACGAGATCCTTAAGTCCCTGGGTAGTCAGTTTGACTCGAAATTGACATCAGCGGAGCGAATGTTGTGCGCACGTTTCACCAAAGGCCATACCCTGTATGAGGAATACGCGCGCAATCCCGAACGTTCAATGCATATGTCGGAGAGCGAGATCGAGGAGTACATTCTGGCGGAGAAAGAGGTGTCGGAGTGCGTTAAAAAAATGGTGACGCTCATGTTCAAAGAACGAGCACCAGATATTTTGCTTCTAACCACAGCGTCACTCATCAACACCACGAGCACGGGCGGAATTTTCAAGACCCACATAGGGGACCGCAAAGTCATAATCATTGACGAGGCCTCCCAAGTCCCCGAACCAATTTTTGCGTGCATCACCACTCTGTTCCCAGACGCCTCCCAGCTCTATGTCGGCGATGTCAATCAGCTGCAGCCGCATACTAAGTGCCCTCCCGATGCCAATCCAGCATTGTTTGGGGCTCGAAGAATCACAGACGTCCTGGCTCAGTCCCCCTCCTACCGAGAGCTACTCTGATCACTACGTTCAGAGCACACCCTGCTCTCAACGCGCTACCTAATATTCTGTCGTATAATGGCACCTTGGTCAGCGGAGCTCGAGCGGAGGACCGCCGTTTCCTGTTAGATCGGATCCACTTCCCTAATCAACATGTTCCCTTCGCCCTCGTGAATGTGAGGGGTTACTCCGTCAGAGCACCTACACGCTCACATTCAAACGAGTACGAAGCCCAAGCGTGCAGCTCCTTAATCGACTACCTCTTAGACGTAGCCAAATCGGAGCCGCAGCAAATTTGTGTTATAACTTTCTATCGCGAGCAATACCGCCTGCTACAAGATTTCGCTTCTTCCCGCCATATTGAAATTGCCACCGTAGACTCTATCCAAGGGCGCGAAATGGACGTAGTAATACTTCTAACAACGCGTACTGGAATGGAGGGAACAGCGTCGACTTTTGTCGATAACCGCCTTCGTCTAAACGTAGCCATCACGAGATGTCGCCACGGACAGTTTATTCTAGGTCAGGTGGCGTCGCTCCGATCTCTTCCCCACTGGGGTACGGTAGTCCGATGGGCCGAAAGCATTAATGCAGTAGTTGTCTACACAGCTGGAGCGCTTATTCCCGAGTTGCTAGGGGAGGCATTTTTAGTTACCGAATTATCATTTTTTCTCCTATTTTTTTTCACTTAGGTAACACTTTTATTTTTCTTCTTTTTCCACAAACGCAGCTATCGTTTTGCTTATAAGACATTATTTTCTGCTACCTCCGATACTCAACGACACTCAACCACTCCGCAAAGGGCTCACGGGTGTCATGCCACGAAGAAGCTGCGCCGTCTCTCGACATAGTCCTCTAAACACCGACGCCCACCGTTTCCTGCCGCCTCTTCAGCTAAGTTTTTGTTACAAGTCCGGGACGGACTTTTGTGATTGGGGGAGGTGTAAAGGGAGCAAAGGGTACGGTAGGCTGGCAGCAATATGTTGATTTCCAGGCTTGCCGACTCGAGTTGAGCGACGATGATAACAAGGACTATGGGAAGAGCAACAGCGCATGGTCATTGAGGAACGCGCAGGATCGCTGAGAAGCCACAGCTGTACCCGCTGCCCGAGTGCCTCGGAGACTGTACTACTCCATCGCATACCCTCATATTCGATACCTTCGCTTCATACTCTGTACGTAGTTCTATCCCAATAAACCTTCAATATTCTATCTCTAGTTACATCGCAAGGGCTCAGCACTTACTGTGTGCGTTTTTGTGTGTTCGTGTCTGACCTGTCCCAGTGGACCTAGAGGGTGTTGTGCAGCAGAATCGAAATTGTCGCGTCGGCAAGGACGCCACGCGCGATGAAATGTAGCAGAATGCAGCAGCAGGTAAGAAATATAGGAACAAAAAACTAACAGTAAAATCATGCCTAAAATAATCGATTGAGCTGTATGAAGAGCGCTAGAACTGTAATAACGGTTCCTAGTGCCCACCACCTAGAGCATTCAAATTTGGAGGAATACAGTCGGCATGGTAGGAACACTCATGATGGCTGAACAGAATGGACTCTGCCCAGAAGGGACGAGATTTACCAAAACTGTTTGGGAGAATAGCAAAACTTTTGTCCCACTGGATCGTTCAAATTTGGTAGGTGTTCAGGAGAGAAGATGGGAGCGTTTTTTGTAGTGGAATGACCAGATTCCACCCGCAGGGCGGAGCTTAGTGTTAATTTGGGCCTAGAACGCTCGGTTTTGGTAGGAATACAGGAAACAGGTTAGGAACACCTATGGCACCTCGTGGGACAAGACTCCGGGGGTGAAACGAGCGTAAATTCAGTACTGCCCTGTCATATTGAAAAAGAGGAAAATGAAACAATTCAATTGAACACACATGCGCTGTGCAGAACTCCGCGGCAGGTGTTCACGAAGTGTGTCGGGTGTGAATGTGTGTATTCGGCCGAAGATTTTTACTTCCTGTTTTTGTTTTACCAGAGCGTCCAAATTCGGAGGGGACATAGGCGACAGGCTTCCTTTGACAAAAAGGTCTAACGCCCGGCTGTAGCCGGGCGACTCGACTGATACAATGTAGCATAGCTAGATAGAAAGCTCTGCCTAACCCATGGCTGTTTCTGCATAGTATTGAACATCGCGTCCTCCGCACTAGATTCTGTTTCTCATTTCATGAGGAGAAAGCTGCGGTGTTTAGGGAACGAAGCTCCAAGACCGCGTCTCCTTAATTACCTTGTGAGTTTATGGTAAGATTCTGTTATCTTCAACATCGATGAAGAACACAATAGGCTCGTCGTACATCTTCGCCACTCTGATCGATCTTCATAAAATTATGCGAGTTGCGGCAATTATCAGCTCACGCCCGAACCAGCAAGGCTATGCACATAAGGGATGAAGCGAGATAAAGAAGAGTGAAAGGCAAAAGCGGTGGTTTGAAAAAATCATTTTAAACATCTAACAATCTTCGCTAATCACAAAACAGAGTTCCCTTGTCGTCTTGACGGAACAATGACAGCATCTTGGAGGCATTGAAGATGGTCATCTACAAATTTTCGGATCTCTTCAATAGCCATATCTACCAACCCACCTACCTACGACCCTTATCAGAAGGGATAACCCGTTCCTTCAATTATCCCTTGTAAAATTCGACATGACATTACGTCGATGAAGAATCGTAGGACGCCCAGTTCCGATAGGACTAAATCAGTGCACATGAAAAGCTTTTTGTCAATTATCGTCGAAACCCATGCCTGGCTCTTCATGCGTTACTGTCGGAATGTAAACTGACACTTCGCAGAAAGTTAGCAAGACTGCGCTGCTGCATAAGAATAGAGACTAATACGATATCGGCAACTATCCACCTGCTGTTTGAAATCTATTAAGTTTTACTCGAATCATCTTCAACGGAATGGGGAGAATGCCTCAGCTATGCGAGCATGTTCCGGATAGGGTTCAGAGCAATCGATCACAAATATTAGGTTGTCGGAAAAGTCTTTGCGGTTTTTGCAATCTTTTTTTGAATTTATTTTTTTCCTTCACGACAACTAATAATTAACATGCATATGCACCTTGACTACCGACAAGGTGTTGCCATTCACCAGGCAACTTGTGGTTCCTGCTTGCGTAGAATTGTTGTGGTTTCGAGGAGGAAAACTCGTCAATGTACGTCTCGAGTTGATTCAAATGATCGAACTTCTTGTTTTTCGGAAGGTCCGACAGCGACAGGAGCAGATGATAATCCGTTGGAGTTAGGTCTGGTGAATACGGTGGGTGAGCCATAACATGTCATCTCAGGCTTCGAAGCTTCTTGTGGGTCTCCTTCGAAATGTGTGGGCGAGCACTGTCGTGGAGAAAAGACTTTCCCGAGTTTCTCTCTTAGAGCTGCAG